AGGGGGGGAAGTGGCGGGATCTGATTTATATCTGGATGAGATTGCTGTGGCTGCTCTCTGGAGACCAGGACTGCAGTGGCAAAAAGCACCGTGGGCAGGCTGGTCAGGAAGCTCCTGCTGTCCAGCCTGGAGATGGCGATGGCTCCGACACAGGCATTAGCGGTGGGGGTGAGGTGAGGAGCTGCTGGCTGGCATCCATATTTCGAAGGTGAAGCCGACAGAACCAGTTGATGGATTGAACATAGAGTGTGAGCCAGAGAGGAAGCCATAGTGATTCTGGGCTCTGCCTGTGGGGTGGAGGACAGGGTTTGCTGGAGGAGGCGGAAGCAAGGGGAGCTGCTTTGAATCTATTCTGTCAGTTATCTAAGGCTGCCACAGCAAAGGACCAAACACTGGGTGACTTAAAACAATAGAAGTTTATTGTTTCACAGCTCTGGAGGCTAGAAGTCCAAAATCAAGGTGTCAGCAGGGCCATGCTCTTTCCGACAGCTCTAGGTAGGAGAGCCCTGCCTTGCCTTTTCTAGTTTCTGGTGTTTGCTGTCAGTCCTTGGCTTGTAGATGTGTCACCCTACTCACGTGGCTATCTTTCCTCCATGTGTCTTCCCATTGTCTTCCCTCTGTGGATATTTGTCTCTGTCCAAATTTCCCCTTGTAGATGCGCCAGCCAAATTAGAATAGGGTCCACCCTCATGTCCTCCCTTTAATTTGATTTCTCAGATAACTGTTCTGAGGTGCTGAGGTTTAAGACGTCAACATGCCTTTTTGGCGGGGCACAATTCAACCCATAATACCTGTTAGATATGATTGTCAGTGAACTATTCAAGTGGAGATTTCAAATGGGGAATTAGACGGCTGGGTGTACCATCCATCCGGCTTTCACCCCATCTATCCATGTTATAAATAGCACTATGATGAGATCTTCAGGTATGTAGATTGTTCTGTATTTAAATTTTGTTTTGTTTTATCTAAATGTTTCCAAAAAGTGCAATGTCAGTTATAAATGTATTATTCTGCAGCGGGGGAGGATGCCATGGTCTAAAGTGCAGACAAATACATGTATTGAGTGAGAAGTAAGGAGAATTGCTATTTCCTGGCTTCTGTTTTCTGAATTTAGTACATTTCTGGAAACAAAGACACTGATTAAGCAATAATTTAGCTTAAGAGTTTCTAAATATACAGTGTTAAGTTACAATACTATAACCTTGAAAAGCTGGAGAACCACTTTCTGACTTACATAAATGCATATGTGTTCATTTTATTAGTGATGTTCCCAGTAAATTTTGTTTTAAATCTTGGAAACATTCATTTATTTATTCTCGTATTTATTCACTTTTACTTAAAAATGTTTTTCAGGTTCTTTTATGTCCCAGCCACTAGATGCTGGGTTTCAACAGGGAATGAGCAAATTAGCTGTAGAACAATTTACAAACAATTAAATAGTGTGATAGATACTACCGCATGGTTAAGACCAGTGTGCTAATGCACCAGGGTACTAATAGTGAACATAGAAGGGGCACCCAACAATTCTGGGAGAGGCGGGGGAAGGTTTTTTGGAGGAAGTAACATACGAATGGCACAAGTGTAATACTAACAACAATTAAAATATATTCTCTATTTTAGTGCTGCAATAGTATTTTCCACACTTAAACTTCTCCAGGATTCAAAACTTTTTAAAAAGGAGGTAGTATCAGATGACAGACAGACTTCCCTCTCTCCAGGAGCTTCCGTACGTATGAACTTAATCTTTACCTTTATAATACCTGTTGGCATGCTAGAAAATTGCCTAATTAATTAGTTGGATGAAACAACGGGATAAAGTAGAAAAAGCATTGAATTCAGAGTATAAAGATCTGTGTTGAAGCCCTGCTTATGCTATTTATTAACTGGTGTAACTTGGATAAGTCCCGTAAACTTTAAAAACATTTTAAAAATATAAATCTCATTTGTGAACTGATGGAATTGGGTGTAAGAATCTCTAAAGTCCGATCATATGTACCAGTACAGGATTGTAGGTCTCATTTCACCAGCAAATACAGCTCTTTCACTTTATTTTGCTCTTCATTTCACTTTTTAATTGTTACTTTAGCATCACCAGTAGGACACCTGTGCTTTTTCCTACTTTGGATTTCTCTTAGTTATACCCTTCCCCATTTAAGCTCTCAATCTGTTCAGCAACTGGTGTTGCAAATTATTTGAAATTTTATTGGATTTTTGATAAGATCAGTTTAATAATATAGCACTGTTTGAAGTAAAAGATTCATCACATAGAATCTTTGCTCATTATTTTAAACTTTACTAATAAAATTGCTAACGTCTACTGTCATTACAAATAAGTAACACTAATTGTCCTAAATAGAGACTCATTTCTTACTATATTAAAAGTAATAAAAATTCTAAAAAGCAATCTAATTCTGAAAATTGACTTAGAGGAATGGTTGTTAATTGGGAGCTATTTTGCCTGCCCAGGAGACATTTGGCAATGTCTGGAGACATTTTGGTTGTCAAAACTAGAGGGGGTACTACTGGCATATAGTGAGTAGAGGCCAGCGATGTTCCTCAACATCCTATAATGTACAGGACAGTTTCCCACAACAGTTACCTGCCACGCAATGTCAGAGGTGTCAAGGCTGAGAAACCCTGATTTAGATTGTGACTTGGCTTTTTGGGAAATGTAGGCACCGAGAGATTAAGGTATGAGATGTGGACAGGCATCTTTTTCTGTGTTGCTAATCTAAATACTGGACTCCTCCATTACTTGTTCCCTTTGTGGTCACCATCCTGCCCCCAGGCCTTTGTTCACTTCTTACTGTTTCCAGGAACAGCTCATCCTCCTCTTCTGTGCTCCTCACCTGTCCATCCAGATTCCAGCCCCCTTCAAGTCCCCATAGCTGCTCCTTGATAGCACGTGTTGCTAATTGGTGGGAAATGATGAGCTGTCAGAGATGCACAGGGGGGAATTCCTGGAACAAATGGATGTTGATCTAAATGACTTTGATGTTCCCAACTTACTAAATAAGATTGATTCCTGCCACTCCCTGGAAAAAGCTCTCTTTGCACCTCCTCCCCAGTAGCTCTGGACATTGAGCACCCTCATAAAGGGTGGTGGATCAATTATAATATACATCTGGAATGTGAGCAGAACATAGCAATGTAACACAAGGCATTAAGACTGTGGGCTCTAGCCCTTCCCGTTTGGCTCAGTGGCAAGAGTGTCAGCCAGACTGAAGGGTCTGGAGTACCGTTCTGGCCAAGGGCTCGTACCTCAGTTGCAGGCTCGATCCCCAAACGGGCCAGGGAATATGCAGGTGGCAACCAATTGATGTGTCTCACATCAATGTTTCTCTTTCTCTCTTTCTTCCACTCTCTCTGTAAAACAATGGGAAAAAATATCCTCAAGTGAGGATTTAAAAAAAAGACTGTGGGCTCTACATTCAGAAAGACGCAAGTTTGAATCCCACCTCTGCCAAAATTTGAAGTATAAACAAATAGATAACCTTTCTGGGTCTCAGGTCTCGCATGGGTAAAACGGAAACAATAATAACTCCTCTTGGGCTTTTCAGGAGAGGTAAAATAATATGTATAAAGCATGTAGCACAGTGCCTGACACATGATAAGCACCCAATAAATATTAGCCAGTGTTATTTATTATTGTTCAGCTTTTCAGATGATGTTTGCAAAATTTTTGAGGACATGGAAACTACTGATAATATAATTTGCAATGAAAAATTCAGACTGCAAAACTGTTTTTCAACAATGGATATATAGTGAAGAAGAAAAGCTGAAAAGCAGTCTACCAAAATGTTAATAGGGGATTGTGCGATCATGGGTGATTTTATTTACTTATTTGTGGGTTTTTCTTGTGTACATGTATATTATTTATGTTTTATAGAATATGCAAGAATAATTCTAAAATTAAAAATGTCATACCAGTAAATGATATTGCATGCTGCTTTTAACTTATATTTAGCATTAGGCTAGAACTTTGACATTATTAAATGTGAAGATAAGCATAATTTGAATATTGTTTAGGCCACTGAAAACAAAGATGATTATGAATTTTTGGACCCTATTTCCCTAAATTCTCGAGAATATTTCAACATCCACCTGTGGTTGAGGTGCCGCTTAGCACTGGTGACTGCGTTTGTTGCACAGATTCATGGCATTGGAATCGTGAAAGGTACAAATATCCTATTTTCTTAATCAGAATTTTTATAAAAAATGATTTTATGTAGGTAATGGAGGTTGTATGGGGATGTATTTTATTAACATTAACATTTTATAACTCTCTAGCTTAATTTGTTTCCAGAATTAAAATTCAGGTTATTAAATAAGAATAATCATTTTCAACAGCCCCTGTATCACTGAAAACGACGTGTGCTACTGATGTGTGCAAAGCAGGCAGAATACTAACACCAGGGTTGCTTGTCATCTAAAAAGGCAGCGTAGCGTAAGGGGTCCAGGGCACAGGTTCTGGAGCCAACTGGCTTGGGTTCACATGCTCGCCAGACTACCACTTACGTGCTGTGTGATCTTGGCCAAGTCTCTTAATTCCCCTACGCCTGATTTCCCCCTCTGTAAAATGGAGATAAGTGTACCTGTTTCATAGGATTATTGTTAAAATTAAATGGGTTACATTAACGAAGTTCTTAGATCACAGGCTGGCACATTCGAATGTTCATTCTGACCGTGATTAATAATTACCTACTTGTAAATCTGTTTATCCATCTCTATCAATCTCTCAGATCAGATTATTTCATGCAGTATTATTATTACCTTTGCAGCATTTGGATACTCTAAAGTACCTCCCCCAAAATTGCAACACATTTATTCTCAGTGTTCCATGGAGTCGGTTTGGTTTCTGTCTTTGTATCTTCTATTCTTCCATGTTACACAATATTCCTGTGATGAACATTGGGCATATTGTGCATATATACTTTCTTACATTCTCCGTGCATTTTAAATAACTACACTTGTTTATTTCAGAAAATGATATGACAGATTATGTGAGCCTCATCAATGAAGTGTGTGTGGAGGCAAAAAGTGCAGGCGACAGGGAGCTACAGGCTGAATTCTTGATGCAAGCGGTAATTATTGGCCTACAAGAAAAGCAGTTCAAGGCAGACATCATAACCAACCTTCAGGTAGGAAGGAATCTTCATTCACATTGTTATTTACCAAAGGATTCAGTTTAGAACAAAAGGAGAGAATTTTAGATTCCATTAGGCACTGAATGTATAACAGCCAATATGGCCAGCTCTTGTTTCAGTGAATTGCAAACAGTATGATCAAAAGGAATAATTTTGTTTTAATAGGCCATAATACGTTTGCTTGAAGGAAACAAGTTTATTTCTCCGCGATCTCATTTAACCCTGGTGAGGAGCTTGCTTTTGCTGGATGACTTAACAAAAGCAGAGAAATTCAAGGAAGCTTCCTCTTCAAAAACAGAAAAATTAAATTTGCTGACTCAGTCTCACAACATTCTTATTGAACAGGTGAGAGTGCTTTTGTGTGCACAAGATTTAGAAACTTATTTTCTGTTGTTGTTGTTTTCCTTATTCCAAACCACATTAGCTGATTACTTATTACAGCGTTTCTCTTACAGATGCTCATTTTTGGAGAAACAATTGAATATCACTCATCAAACACTGACTATGCAAGTCCCTTACAGCCTTTGAAAAATGTCTATCTTCCTCATGTCATGTTATTGGCCAAAACAAAAATGAGAATTGGTAAGAACAGTTAAACATATATTACACTCAAGCCATTGATGAAAAATCTTAAGTTGCCTTCAGGCACACTATTAGATGAGTACATTTATGGGGGGCAGTATTTATGAATGCCCGGGCTCGATTTATGTAACAAATAGTTTTTGATCATTTACTGCATGCCAGACTCTGTGTGAGGACCTGGGAGGTTATTTTAGATGAAAACAGATGTAGTCCCTGATCTTAGTGTGGGAGACAGAAGTAAACAAGTAAACCATGTAGGAGTGCATATTATAATCATATATCATTATCATATTATAAAGTGTAAAATAAATATAAATATTTTAATATCAAATTTAATAAAATAAATATTGTATATAATAAAATATATATTTGATAGCAATCAGACAGGAAGTCAGCAAGGATGTAGAAGGCTAATATATGATGCTGAGTTAAGTATATGTATATAGTTATGAATCGTTAGCGCTTTGAAAGATGTGGATAAGATCTGTTGATAAAGAACACAAAGAGATGGCTGCCTGTTTAATTCAGGTAAGCGGGGAGGCCTCTCCATGGAGGTGGCATTTCACCCCAAACCTGAAATGTGAGTTGCTAAGTATGCATCGTAGAGGCGGCAGGAGCAGTGAGTTGTAGGCTCTAAGGTGAGGACAAGCTTAGCATGTTCTGGAACTACAAGGAGATAACTACAGCCAGAGCAGAGTGGGCTGGGGGGCAGCCTAGTGAGGAATGCTGAGCTGGGATGGCTTAAGTTTTAAAATACTACCCTAGCTGCTGGGAGAAGAATAGGCTGGAGGGTAGACTGGAGCCAACCAAGAGTGGACCTGATTAGAGTGGGTGGACCAGTAAGCAGCAGAAAGTTTACAGCTCCTCAGAAACCAAGGAGAAACTCAGAGATGTTGTTTCTAGCTCTCTCTAGGACAACTCCCTGATGTTTCACCCAGGGATACTTGCCTCTGGCTCTCAGGGTCTGGTCCAGATCACAGGGCAGAAAATCTTGTACCAACTCTCAGTTCTAACCTGTATTTAACCAGGCCTTTTTGTGTTCTGTATTTCTAATGCTTTGATATCTGGCTTCTTCCTGTATAGTAAGAAACTTCGTCTCCCCAAATTAGGCAGTTCCTAGAGATTAGCAAAGCACTCTCCATTAAACATGCTTTTTCTATGCAAACTAACCATTCGAGAGCCCACAACCCAAACCTTTATCATTTCCTTTATTGGCCTTTGCTGGGCTTTCACTCTCTGTGCCACCATTCCCCTACCCTAATCACCCCAGGACAGCTATCAGACTTCTAGCAGAGCCCACTGAAATTTATTCCAGCCGATCTTAAACCTGCTGTCTGCTTACCCTACCCCACCCGTTCCTTCCCTTGAGAACCGTAACAAAAGTTCTTGGTTTCCCCTTGTTCCCTCTACCTCCGGACCAACCCTGGTGCTTCCCCATGTGGCCCTGCGTGGCGTGCTGTGCCTCTTCTTTTTGGGAACTGTAACAAACTATCTTTTCAATGGCAATGGTCTCCTGACCTGTTAAACTCATCATACCTGAATAATAATAAAATCTACATTTTAAAACATTACCCCTGCCTCCTGGGACCCATTTGCCTCCTGCACCAGCTGGTGCTCAGCTCAGGAGAGGTTGATGGCTGGACTAGAGTGGGGAAGGGAGAGTGATAGAAGTGTGCTCAGGCCATCACCTGCCCAGCACCTTTTCCCTTATTTCCCTCCTGTTTCTCCCTCTCATGATTACTGTTGGTCATTATTGTTATATGATGATCACCACCATCATCAGATATGAATTTTATTGCTTTAGATAAATTGCTTCACCTCTATATTGTTGAGTGTCCTTATTTATGAATTTAGGTTGGCCTAGCTGACCTCTAGAATTCCTTCCAGCAATCTCATCCCATGAGAGCTATTTTTCTGCATTTTTAGTCCACAGTTTGTTATATTATCAGTGTATTTGATTTCTAAAGGAGCTTAAAGTACAGACTGTGCTAAACTGTACAGATTTTGTTAAATCAGATGTATCCTCTGCACTCCTGCCTTAGTAATCTTGAAGATGTGTCACTGCTAGGTAGCAATGCTGGTTCTGTTTCTTAGACTCACTTGAAGCAGAACAGCTTGCATTCTGTTATATTAAACACAGACTTAAAAAACAAAACCCAAAGCGACTTTTCTGTCAAAACAATGTCAGTTTCACAACTTTTTTTTTTCATGGAGTTGATGTTTATTGGAAAAAGGAACACTTCAATATTATGAGGTATAATATCATCTGACTTAATGCTTTCTTGGCAGTTGCCTGTATAGTGACAGCAAAGATTGCTTCGCAAGAATAGAGACACTTAAAAATTATGTTTTCTTGTGAAAGCCTTGCATAGAAAAATACATTTTGAGATTATTTTTATAAAACAAAAAATAAGCATCATGGTTATTTATTTTCCATTAATGGTTGCACATTGAGCTTTTTTATTAGATAAAAAAGTCAATTATTGATTTTATAATAGGAGCAAAGAAAGTTGCAAGAATGATGCTGGCATGTGGAACCAAGCCAGTTACCACCTGCCCTCTCTGGCCTCCTGGTTGGAGAGAAAGAAAGAGAAAAGTCTATACTGTTTATACAGTTTTTTCCTAATTTTAACAAAAATCTAGCAGATAATTTAAGTACTATTATTATATATTAGTCCTATGTTATATAGTACTATATATTATATATGGTAGTTATGGCATATATAGTGCATATATTCAAGTGCCTTGATGACATGAAGATACTTGGTATTTTGTCTCATATTAATAAACAGTGTTATAATTTGAGGCAATAGTGAAACATATAAAAATGGGAGATGCATTGAAACATGAGGGTGTATTGGACAAATGATACTTGCATATCCTTCTTGCCTAGGATCTCTAATCACACCTAGTAATCATTGGGGTTAAGGGCATAGACGCTATAGAAAGAATTCTGGTCTGGTTTAAGTCATTTAACTTCTCTGTGCTTTAGTTTCTGCTCCCATGAGACGTGGATAAGCAAAGTGTGTTCCAAGCTCACCAGCTTATTGTGGGGTGAAGCGAGTGAAATGCATACCAAGTTTCTAAGGGCACCTAGTTTGTTCTAAGAGCTTTGTGGGTGTTAGCGTTACCATTCCATGCCTGGTCACCTGACTCTCCCGGGAGCTCTGGGAGCAAGCCCTCAGTTTTTCCATCTCCATAATTCTCAGCAGTTTGCCCCCACCCTGTATTTTCCGAAGTAAGGCTCAATAACTTCTCCCTGGATATGAGAGGAGAAAGACGCAGTTTTCCACCCTCTGATGGTTCATATAGCAGATTCCTGAACTAGAAATTTACAAAAAGTTCTAGGTTTCTTGAAAGCCCTTTGTAGGACTTAGCATCCTGGAACTGAAAATTTTCAGAACCTGAAGGGACCTCTGATTTTTCTAGTTCTGCTGCCTCATTTCCAGAGGAAGACACTCAAGGCCCAGAGACATGTAGGGACTTGTTCAAAGCCTCAAATGACACTGTAACACCAAGGACTGGCCTGAACCAGCAGTTTAGCTGGAACCCAGCCGCTGTTTCATGCTGCAATCCTACATCACCTTTCTGTTTATATCCCTCTATTGTGTATGAGAAGCTGTCCTATCAATGTAGCATTTTCCAGTTGCCTTCTACTCTTTATCCCAACATTTTTCTTCTTTAAAATCACCAAAGATAAGGCGATCATCAGCTGTTGGCCTCAACAGCCACATTGTCTAAAAAGGATTCCCTGACCTTTCCCAGGTCTGCGTCAGTGTTACTGGACTAAAGTAACACTGCACACATCAAAGCCTAATCAAACACAAACAGGAGTTTGCAGCCCAGAAAGTAAGGGCTTATTAGGGGAAAGTAAGGACTCTTGGGGATGGCACCAAGCCAAGAGTCACAGGTAAACTAGGGGTCAAAGGCTTGGCTCCCCGATGGCTTCTAGGGAATGGGTTAGATAGGAGACATGGTCAGGATCATGGTCTCTGCTGATTGGTTGGTGCTAGGGTAGGGGGAAGATGATCAGTGCATCTCGTCCTGATGTTAGCCATGGCATTGCTTTGTCTGATTTTTCAAAGGTGTGGTTGGTGGAGTTGTTCCATTTTTCTAGGTCTGGGCCGAAGCATATCTGAGGCTTAGCTAGACGTTATACTTAGTTTGATTGAAACTCTGTCTCTGTGATCAATAGATCAGTGGCTTTTTTCCTAAGATTGTTTAATGCTGACCAGGGCCTCAAATGTCCTGAGGGCTTAATGATTAAGGGAGTGGACATGCAAGGGGAGAGGGAAGCAGATGAGTCATGGTGCTGGATGAGGCCAGGCTGAATCAAAAGGAAGGAAAGGAGAAAAGATCATATTAAAGACATGAAGTTTCTGCAGGTACACCAGTTCTCCTGTACCCTACCACTGCGCCCTTGCTTTCCCCTCCATGCAGTTGACCACACAGTATTTTGCTCACCTGTCTGACCATTAGGATTCCCTATTAAACATCACGCTCCCTGATCTCTCTCTTAGGGAGCCTTGCAGTGTCATAGTTTAGGGTTGTGGGCCCTGAGGCCAGATGCCTAGTTTCAGATCACGGCCCTGCTGCTTACTAGTTGTGTGACCTTGGCACATTACTTAAACCTCACTGTGCCACGGCTTACTCCTCTGCATAATGGCATCCAATTGGAGTTGGAAAGATTACATGTGATAATGCTTGTTAAGTACTTGAGAGGATGCCTTGAATGTAGGAAGCACTTAATAAACCTTAGCTCTTAATCTTCTCTTTTCTCATTTTTATTCAGTGCCTAAGCACTCAGAAAATATTTCTTGAATAAATGTCTGTCTTTGAGGCCACACAGATTAAACCTAGTGCCTCTTCTACACAGCAGTCCTTCATTATGTTAGGTGATGGTGGGACCACACGGAAGTGTAGCATGTGGCCCTTGTCCATAATGGGTTCAACGTCTACTTAGGATGACAAAATATGCATAGCAGGCGGCCACTACAGATCTGAGGAGAAGTGAAATTACTGCCTATTAATATATGCAAGTTTTATTGGAAACAACATAAAACTTTAAAAGTTCCAGATGTTTCTCTCCTACAGCCTCATTTCAGGCCACGGAAGTTGTTCCCCAGAGCATTATAACATTTTAGAACTGAAGGAAGATCAGCCTTTCTTTTAAAAATGAGAGTAATTAAAGTTTATAAAAAATAAGATTTCAAGGGACTATTGTTATAGTTCATTGAAATATTTGAGTATTGACTTTCTTTAAAACACTTCTTAGATGCTAAAGACTAGAGACCACCGGGTTCTTAGTAGATGCCTTAAGGTGAGAGAAGTCTAGTGACTTGGAGGCTAATTATGAACACTATAATCTATTGTTCCCGCTTATCCAACTGTCTTTCTGTAGGACATACAGTGGCCAAGCAAGTATACTACACCAGTAAAAAGAAGGATTCCTCCAAGTGGTTACCTGCTCTTCAACACCTAGAAGTAGCACTGAAGCTCTGTAGGACCTCAGCAACAACGGAACATGAGGTGGAAGCTGAAATCCTTTTTCAGAAAGGTAAGATGCATTTGGGGTCAGAACTATGATAAAGTTTGTGGCATTGTTTTTTGTTTTTCCCCCCCCCTATTAACACTAGGCTTCTTGAAAGTCTACTCAGTGAGTATAAAACAATACAGACTTCTACAAAGAGCCTTGTGATGACAAACGTATTGGTACAAACTAAGTGTTAGATAAAGAGAACACTACTTATTTTAAATATATGTCTAGAAAGAGAAAAAAAAGTACTCCTTAGTTTCATTTATAATTACAATTGCCCCTCCTTGGTTTCCTGTTTGACTCAAAAATGTCAGCGTCAGCCATTTAGCTATAAATAATGCTCCTTAAGGAACCCTTAGAGGATACTTTTTTTCTGCATCATTTCATCACTTAGCTGAGCATTTTAGTTAAGTTTTATAAAAGATACATACCCATTTAAATTGAATTTCCATAGCACATTCACATTTATAACTTATAGACAACACATATTTGCATAATGCATTCCTATGATTTTATTGGGGCCATTTTAGCCGTGAGAAAAATGATGATGGTTACAAGCGCTCTCCTTTGTGGAGCATCTGCCTACTAGATGCTCGGCACCGCAGTCAGCGTCCTGCATCTCATGTTGCTAATTCTCACCACAAGGTAAGCACAGCCATCCCTGGCTCACAGATGAGGAAAATATGGAGCGTCTGGTGAAGTAACTTCTCATGTCAGCAGCTCCAAAGAATAGTGCCCCGACATGAACTTAACACTGGGTGGCCCTGTGCCTTGTCCACACGCTGCATGAATACTGTGGACCCTTTTGATAGTAATTATAAGGTTTCCCTTTCCTGCTGTTTCTGTCACGAAAGCGTCATTCCAGCACCGACATTGGAAGGCTGCAGCTCACCGTGAAGAAGGCTGGGAGCTGGGTGAGAACCAGAGCACTTCCATCATCCATGGTGGTTTTCAAGCATTTGCTGACTTTTAGGACTTTCTGTTTTTAGAGATGTTTTCTGTGATATGTGCAATAGCAGACAGAGGAAAGAGGAAGATGGACTTAGGAAAGGCGGACGAGTGCCCCAGGAGGAAGAGCAAGCACAGAGCAAACAGAGAGAAAAGGAAGATGGTAGAAACAGTTGTGTCTGGGGAGCCCGAGGAGGCTTTGACGCAGGTCTTTCCCTTCCAGCAGGAAACGGCGGATGAATGACAAGGGCAGCCCGTCCAGTCTTCTGAATCTCCAGCAAGAAATATTTGTTCTGAAGTTCTCAACGACAGAAAAGGGAAAACCCATCTTTGTCTTTTTCTTCTTTCAGGCAAAATAGAATGTCAAATGTTGATGGAAGACAGATCTCCAGATTCGCAACTTGAGAGTTTATATGACGCTATACAGCTAAGTTTGGACCACGATCAAAACTCAGGGTAAAGAAACTATCTTCTTTCCACTGTTGGGATGATGTGTGTGTTTTGGTTTGAGCCCCATGCTCTGGCAGGACGCTGGATATTGTACTGCCCACAGTCGGGCTAGTGCACTGGTGTCTGTTGGCCGGCAGGTTTCGTGACTCCCTTCCCAAGCTTATTGCTCTGGGTCTGACCCAGGGCGGTTGCAGTGATGGTTGATGATGGTGATCAGCATGGTGGCAGACGGGACTGTGAATCCCTTCTGGCTGTTCAGACCAATCTCCTCTTGGTCCTAGGATTCCAGGGGCCTCCCCAGATATGAAATTGTATCTGGAAGGGAATTATGTGGACAGTCACTCTGGTCAGCAATACCAGGGCTGACCAACTTAATTCTGTATAAAAATCACCTCAAGACTGAGAGTAAGCCACCATTATTACAACGGCACTGATCTAAATGGCCCCAGCTGACAGGTCTCGTAATGAGCACTCAGACCTAACCCATACCAAATCGCTGTTTTCTGCATACCTTGATGTGTCTCTTCTGATGTTAGTCAGTATAGGAGGGTAGAAAGAGGCTTGTTTTTTAAAAATTTTTATTTATTGATTTGAGAGAGAGAGAGAAACATCAATTTGTTGTTCCACTTATTTATGCATTCATTAGGTGATTCTTGATTCTTGTATATGCTCTTAATGGGGATCGAACCCACAACCTTGATGTGTCAGGATGACGCTCTAACCAACTGAGCTACCCGGCCAGGGTGAGACTTGGTTTTTAAGGCAGGTTCCTCCACCTTTTTACTGCCTTGTTTGCTGGAATATTCCAGACTGGCCTTGACATTATGGAGTGTTGCCAGCACAGGACAAGGTAGAATTCCGAGCTCTCTTCAAGAGCTTCTAATTTCAGGGGAGGCAGACGCCAGTGTCTATGCCGAAAGTGCTGTGAGAAGAGGGTGTGAGCTTGGGACAGATGCTGGTTTTGTCAATTTTCACCTTTTATTAGCTCAGAAATTATTGGCAAATTATGGAAAATAATTATGAGTGGTGAAACTGTTCACTAAGTACAATGCTATATCATTTTAGGTTGATAAGGGACTCCTACCTAGAGATTGCCCTATTATATTTACATCTGAGAAAGGCAAAGAACAAATTTGGATCAGCACCATCAACACCTAAGGTAATAAACTTCTATTTGAAATTTTAAGTTAATTACCTTTTGAGCTTGCTATTTTGATAACACTGCTGTTGAAATAATGAGACTGATTTTCCTGTGAGACTTAGAGAAATTAATTCATTAGTTTGTAGTCATACCTGTGTTTAAATGTCTTTTGATATTTTATGTAAAGCTCTGGGAATAGGTTTCATTTAGACATCTTTGTCTGTTAAAATGTTACCCACGAAATGTAGGTACATGTGAGTACTCTAAGTTATTAGTAATTATCAGGAAATTGCAGGAAACGAAATATAGCTTAAGCAGATGGACAAGTAAGCTTTTCATTACTGATGTGGCTACAAATAGATCACCTTGTGACAGAGTCATTAATTCATTCATCACATATCTATCGAGCACCTCCTATACCTGGGCAGTATCCTGGAAAGTAATGAATCAGTGTCCAAGCCTAACTCTGCCCTTGTTCTCATGGACCCTCCAAGAGATCTTTTGAGAAAATTTTGGTGTGAAATCTCTAACTTTTTAGAGCATAAACATGATTTAAAACCATTAGGCAAATGAACTTTCAGTCAATTGAATTACTCACGTGGTAGCTGCCTTTGGTAGGTAGCAACTATTGTTTTTTCTATCAAAAATCTATGATTACATAGATAAGTTACTTTTTGTGGTATAATAAACATGTTTATTTCCAGTAAGAGGAAACGAAAATTTTTGTTTCCATAGCAAGTCGCAATACAGATTAATAGGATAGTAGGGTAATGATAAATCACCTTCTGGCCTTTCTTAGAGAAATGTTTATAATTTAGGGCTTGAAAAAGTTAGGATTTGAATGAAAACAATAATAAAATTCCACTAAGTATGATCATTTTCTCTATATCTTGACACAGGATAAATATTTTAGCAATTCATATAATTACTGGAAACACGGAAAGCAGCCAGAATAAACAAAAAGTTTTACCCGAGCACATTCAGACCATTGAAATATAACATTTGACATTTATCTAAATGCAGACAATGCTTTATGAGCCCTTAAAAGAAAGCATTGTAGTTTAACTTCCATGCAGTCCGTACAGCAGGGTGACCGTAGCACTGGCTTTGATTAGCTGCATCGCATGCCTGCAGTGTACTGGGAGCCTTTCTCAGCTTAGTTTTCTCATCTGGTGAAATGTGACTGTGATACCTCTTAGACCGGCTCGGAGAATTAGTGTAATAATGGGTTTGGCACACCGTAGATATTCAAGGGACCTGTTTTTCATCACTGTGTAATTTCAGTTAAACATCTACATTCTGAAGTACTTTGTACATAGTAAATGTTCAATAATTGTTTTTTAGCTAAGTTGAGTTGATTTTCTTGAACGTTCATTTATTTATTCATCCATTAACCAAACACTAATTGTGTGCTTAATGTATGCCAGGCATGTTAGCTCTTCTTCCCTAAGGAGCACAGAGCCTAGCAGGGAAGAGAAGTACTTGTGTCACAATATAAGGAGGCTGTAATCAGATACGTCGAGGCAGGGACATGGAGCAAAGGGGGGATGAACTGCCCTGGCTTGTGGGGCTCAGTTGGCTGGACCCTCATCCCGAATTTTGAAAGGCTGTGGGTTCAATCCCTGGCCAGGGCACATAGGGAAGGCAACCAGTCGATGTTCTCTCCAATATCGCTGTTTCTTTCCATGTTGTTTGTGGTGTTTTTAGAGACAAGTTTTTAATTTAATGAAGTCCAGTTTATCATGTTTTTCTCTTATATATTGTGTTCTTGGAGGCATATCTAAGAACTCTTTGCCTAACCCCAGATAGTGAAGATTTTTACCTATGTTTTCTTCCAGAATTTTTATAGTATTGGCTTTTAAGTTTCTCTATGATCCATTTTGAATAAATATTTGTATAAAATATGAGGTAAGTATTTGAATTCATCTTTTTGCACACAGATCCAGTTGTCCCAGCACCATTTGTTGAAAAGACTATCCTTTCTCCATTGAATTGCCTTGGCTCCTTTGTCAAAATTAATTGATCATAAATGTAAATGTAGATCATAAACGCAGACTTCGGTACTATCCCAGTGATCTAGAAGCCTACCTTTCCATGTAGTTACTGCACCTTTTAGTAAGTTTTGAAATTGGAAAGTACATATCCTCCAACGATATTCTTCCTTTTTAAAATTGTTTAGGCTATTTTGAGTCTTCTGCATTTTCCATATATATTTTAGGATCTGCTTGTAAATTTTTGCAGAAAACTAAGTATTTTGGTAGGGATTGTGTTGAATCTACAGATCAAGTAAGGGGTAATTACCAACTTAACAATATTGAATCTTCCAATTCATAATATGAACTGTCTCTTCATTTATTTAGATATTAGCTAATTTCTCTCAATAATGCATTTTACTTTTTATTGTGCATTTTTCTTACATTTATTTTTATTGTGAATGGAATTTTTCTTAATCTCATTTTCAGGTTGTTCATTACTGTGTCCTGTAACTTTGCCAAACACATTTATTAATTCTAGGTGTGTGTGTGTTGGGATTTTCTACATATAGGATCATGTCTTCTGTAGGCAAAGACAATTTTACTTCTTCATTTCCAATCTAGATGTAATTTTTCTTTATCTTGCTTGTTTGCATGGGCTAGAATCTCCTATGCAATGTTAAGCACCTCCCCCATCAAAAAATACCCACCAGATTATTTTTCCTAGTCCAAATTTTTCTGTTCTTAGCTCAAGCCTGACCCCCTCAATAAAGCTTTCCTCTCAATTCAAAATGAATTTTTTTTCCTTTTTAAATGTCTGTGTCACTAGTTGTTCTTACATTATAGTCATTTAATGTTATTCCGCATTCTTCATTTAACGCCTGTTAGCCTTGTTCCCAGAATTTAAGTAGATAAAACTTTCAAGCGTATAGGGTCTATATGTTGGCCAGGCCACCCAGAGCCTAGGCAGTTTCCCTAAGGCCAGTGACTGGGGTCCTCACACCCTGGGCCAGGGCGGTGTTGCTTGGATTCCCCACAAGCGATCCCTGCAGGCATCGCCTGCCTCCCAGCGTCGAGCTCGATCAGGCTGGGCCGCACCCGCGTTGCACCGCCTGCCTGGCATCAGCGTTAGTTCCTCTGCCGCCTCTCCTTGGGAGTCTTGCGGGCAGCAGTAAAGATACTTTGGTCATTGTTTGATTTTGTGGCTCCTGGAAGATTAAAGAACTGGCCACAGGAGGAGCTTCAGAAGATTAGATACAAGCAGTCTAACCGAATAGGTTTATCCTAATTGGTTAAACCTTAAAATGGACTATGAATACTTATTTTAGTTCTTTAAAAATGTAAAACAGATTTTATGTTGCTAGTGGAGTTCTTTCTGTTTCTTTCTGTAGCATTGATTTTCTTTACGTTTAAACACTGAACACACACAGGCACAGGCCTATCGAAAATCTTTAAGTAACATTCTTATTTCTGACATCATTATAAACGATAGACTCAATTTATAGGTCTTCTGTTAAAACGGTAAATACTGTAAGTAAGTACTTTATTTAAAATGCCATTTGTGTTCCTTTTTGTTATTATTCAGATAATGCAAACTCATTATAGAAAATTAGAAAAAAATGGTAAATAATAACTTAATCGCCCTTAAAGCCTGGGGTAACATTGTTTGTTTTCTCTGCTTGTATATACAGGGAATACATGTGTGTGCACATCCTTTTAAAAATGGGATCATATTTTGCATCCTATATTGTAACCTACACTTTTCTGCCCCAATATACTTTTAACACCTTTTCATGTCAATAAATACATATGCATCGTTATTCTTAATGGCTGTATAGTATTCTGCTAAACTTTCATCTTCAGATGAGAAAATGTATCATGAAACTTTATATCTTTATATGCCTTTATCATAATACACTTGCCACCTTTTTTTAGACTTTTACCAGAAGGCATAGTTCTATTAAAGAAACAACAGTAGATGCATTTGAAATCTGCGGTTCACTGGCCTGGATTGCAATCAGAGCTGCTGCACAGGTTGGTGTGATCTTTATTTAATCTGCTTTTTATTGCAATAGCTGTGTTCACCTACCAGCTGCTAAGACAACACAGTGTATTTGCAGAAGAGAAAGGAAATTTTCACATCCTTTGGGATTTGTGCCAGTGATGTTTCTTTGGAAGATTAAAAAATGCTCTTTATGTGTATAATGTTTTTAATTTCTGTTAGCCAGACCTGGCTTTGTTTCACCTTTTCTTTAGTGAAAATATTGGCAGATACACATGTGCAAATATTTGACATTTTGGCAAATATGTGCCAGATCTAGGTGAGGCAGCCTATTTAAAGTGACTTATACATTAATTAAATTGCCAACAGTGATCATTTCTTTGACTTATGTTATACATGCTGGGAATAACATTATTTTTGAGGTTGTCTTTATTTTTTCTTCCAATGTATATTGAATGTTATTTTATGAATTCTCTCTTTTGCATTATTTACTTAAGGAGAGATCTATGAATCAGAAAGCTTACATTTATGAATTCTAATTATGCATTAATTTAAGGTCAGTAGAGCTGTGCTGGCAATTAACCTGCTTATCGGAAAGAAGAATGCTAGAACCGATCAAGTCAGTCAAGAGGCGTTACCGAACATCCCAGAATTTGCCACTGTGGACCTTTTGTCCTCATACACAGATTATTTGCTTGGTATGTTTGAATGTCTACGCATTTTATAAAAACCTGATATATGTCATATATGATCACATTTCAAAGGTTTAATTGTAGTGATTTGTTGGGTTTGAGCTGAGAGGATAATGGTTTGGGGAGCCTCTGGGAGAGGCTAGAGGTCTTAGGGCCTAGCTGCCAAAACCGAGGATTTCAGCATTTGGGAGCAGTCCCAAACCTTCAGACCATAGCATGAAGGAAGCTGTAGAATAGGAAGCCTCTGCTCTAGGTGCAGCCTCCAGAACCACGCAGCCTCTGCCAGAATTTATACCAGCTGAAGAGAGGCCTTGAATCCTGTCTCTGCACCACTTAGCACAGTTCCAACTTCCAGTGCTGCACCAATGCCCTGAATTTGTGATACAAAAATCCCATCCAGGGCCCTAGCTACATGGAAATCTGGGAAACACAACTTTTATCTTTATAACTTCTTCAATATAGAAGAGCACATTTGGAGATTAGGATGGATGCCGATTGAACCAATCTGGTACATACATTTGATATATTTTTTTCCTTAAAAATACAAATAATAGTATAATTGTCCACACAACTATGCTTCTTGCTCTGTTTGTTTTTTTTTTACTTAATATAAATGTATCTATTGGCAGTTGTTTCAGATCAATGCATAACTTCTTTTGTATTGTTGCCTAATATTCCCTTACAGTGATGCACCACAATTAGTCTTCCTTTGATAGATATTTAGGTTGTTTTACTCTTATAATACAACTCTGTTATAGGTAGTCATATCTGTATATAATTTTGTACATAGGCTAGTATATTTATTGGGTCAATTCTCATAAGGGACATTTCTGGATCAAAGGGTAGATTCATTTGTAATTTTGATAAATTTGGCCAAATACCTTTCATAAAGGTTATGCCAGTTTGTACTCCTATCAACAATTAATAAAAGGTCTATTTTTCCTACACACTTGCTGACACAGGTACATTTTTTAAACCTTTGTCAATATGGCAAAGGGGAAAACATGTCATTTTAATTTGCACATCTGTCCCTAGGACTAAGGGTAAGCATCCTTTGTGTGAACTTTCTGCTCATAATCTTGCTTATTTAATCTTGAGTTTCTTCTCTTTTTTCTTTTTCTTTTTTTTGCCTTTAAGTATTTGTGTAAGTCCTTTATTATGGAAATTAACCCTTTAACTATGATACTATTTGCAAATATATTTTTCTAATTTATCAGTTGTTATTTAACCTTTCTTTAAATGGTGATTCACTCCCCTGAAGAAACTTTCTTTCTATACAGTATATAATCTTTTCTTTGATAATTTGTGGATTTGTATCACAGTTGGAAAGGCATTCAGAAATTCTAAGAAAAACACAGCATTCTTCAGGCATGCATGGACAAATATGAAGCAAGTTAGAATATTACATGATTTTGAGAAACTGGAATAAGTAAAAGTAATCAATTTGGTCTTTGTGTTGAGAATTCTATCCTTTGTGGTCACAGGTTGTGATATTCACCTTTAGTGAAGAAACATAGTCGTATGTGGATGCAGAACAGAAAGTAAATGTTACTGACTTTGAAAATAGGAAACCTGTCCAGTGGAAGGAGGTGAAGGGGTGCAGATACCATTAGATTACAAACTAAGACATCAAGAGATATTGTCCATATTTGGTAGAACTAGAAAGAAAGTTTTTAAGACATTATTGATAGACGTATATAAAAATAATAAGGGAACTAAAATGTTGATAAAAATATAAAAACTCCAAAGTGAAGGAGGAGTGGTTATGTGAGCTAATCCTCATTGTCACTAGAGAAAGTCCGCAGATACGTTTTCTAAAACTGATGAGCCATGGAAGTGCTATGAGGGAATTATTTTAAGAGCCAGAACTAACCACTGAAAGAAATAAAGTAGACATGGTTTAAAATGCTTGCCTCTGGGGATAGGAATTTTTATCTTTGATCATGTAAATTATAACTTTGATCAAAATGTTTAATATCCTGTTTAGGATATTAAAAGATTCATCATGTCAAATTGAATTATTTCCAGAAGTGCAGATATAACTCAACATTAGAAAATGTATTAAACTAAATCACTACATTAACAGATGAAAAGAGAAAAACAATAATCAACTCAAAACGTACAGAAAAATTGCCGGGCCGGGTGGCTCAGTTGCTTGGAGCGCCATCCCACACACTAAAGTGTTGCGGGTTCGATTCCTGATCAGAGCACAGACCCAGGTTGTGGGTTCCAGCCCCCGCCAGGGCGCATGCGGGGGGCAGTGTCTCTCCCCCGCTCTTCCTCTCTCTCTAAAATCAAACATATCCTTAGGTGAGGATAGAAAACAGAAGTACAGAAAAATTCAATAAAATCACAGACAATTTTAACACTGGGAATTAAAGATTTTCTTAGTTTGAAAAAGTTAAAATAGGAAAAAGAAACTACTGGTTTATCATACTCAATATTCCAACACTGTTCTCTTTAAAGCCAGGAGTAAGATGGCTATAATCACTTCTATTGAAAATTATTCTGGAAGTCCTACCCTGCATAATATTAAGCAAAAGAGAAGAAAAAAGCTGTTATTAGCACTGTTCACCTGGACAGTTCTCAAAAAACTGGACAGTAAGAACACTTAGCAAGATTACTCAATGTAAAATTTTATTTCTATATACCTTTAACAGATAATGTATTTTTAAAAGCTATTGTTTATAATACTACAAAAATGTGTAAGGTATCTAGGGCTTAATCTAGCAAAAGTTATAAAACAAAAAAAATTATTGAAAGAGATAAGAAAACATACCATGTTTATACTTAAGAAAACTCAACATTATTGCAAGTTGCCAAGGCTTTTCAAGCAGTGTATAAGAATTCCGATTTCTTCATATTATTACCAATACTTATCATTTTCAGATTTTAGTGCCTGTCAATTCCTGAGAGAAGTGAAATGGTATTTGATTTTAATTTGCATATCTCTGATTTTCAGTGATGCTAAAAATTTTGGCTCTCTGGGTTTCCCTGTCTATGAGTTTCCTGTTGAAATTCTTTGTCACTTTTCTATTGGACTATTTAATTTTTTTCTTGTTGATTGCTGCAAGGTGTTACATATATTAGAGAAAAACAATTTACATGTGTTTTAAATAACTTTTTTAAGTTTATGGTTTTTCTTTTAATTTTGTATTCATTGTCTTTGTGGTACAAAAAATTTTTAGTCAAAGGTAGCCCCATGTGACAGTCTTTCCTTTATGAGTTGGACTTTTTCATATTGTTATTTTTCAAGAAAAGCATAATATTTGCCTTGTTTTTTTTACTTTCAGATAACTACCAAGTTGTCTTCCAGACTAGCTATACATTTTATTACCAAAGTGATGACCTATGTGAGAACATAGACGCTATAAAAAAGACTCCAACTAAAGTGGATATTACGTGGATTCTTCTACTGCGTTACTACATCCACCTGCAAAGGATTAATAACATGAGCAAGCTGCTAGGTAGGCTTTTGATGTGTTAAGAAAGAACATATTTCCTTCCAATTTCTGTTTAGGTGAGGTTTCTTATTTAAAATTATAAAATACTTTTGATATCTTTCACAGTGAATTCTCATCAGAAGATGAAAGTTTCAGAGGTTCTTAGCCTGAGACACACAGACCTTTGAATAGAGTAGTATTCCAATGTAACTGATTTCCTTTGACACTCTGCATGTTTTAGTTCATGTACTTAAAAACATTCTTGAATGCCAGTTTGACCCATGTCTTGAAACAGTTAAGAACCATAGTGATCACGATGTGACAAGCTTTTAAAATGAACAGGATGAAGTTTTGTCTTTAAGGAGAGAGTCTTTTGCACCCATTAGGTAAAAGAGAAGAAATGTATGACTTGAGATAGGATATTTAACTCCATGGACATGTTTTGTTTTATTAAGCTTTTTGTTTTACCATCGATATATCTAAACATATCCAGAAAAACTGGTATAATCTACTTCATATCAGCTCCTTTTGACATTTCATGATGGTGCATATTATTGTTTTTAATCTGTGCCCATGAAATTGGTGATTCAGTGCTGCTCATCAGTGCAACAGTCAGGAAAGAGAGCTCGACCCACGCCAGGGCCCAGTGATAGAGAAGCCAGCGGGGCTAACAGGCCGAGTCACAGAGCGGCTGAGCAGTTATCAGGAGTTCGCTAACCCCTGAGACAGGCGCTTAGAAAGGTGCCAGGGTAAAGGGTGCGTCACGGTGGGTGGGTGCAGCAGACCCTGCCCCGTATCACCTCAGCTCACCTCTGAATTCACCTGCTGGCACTTTCCATGTCAAATGCCCACAGGGTATTGCTTTTCCGCTCTGAGCTTTCTCTTAAGTTACTGAGGCTTGTCCAAAGAAAGGACCTTCTGGAAGTGCCAGGATTCTACACACCCAGGAGTAGCCTTCAACTAATGAGGCAGGGAACTGGTAGATTAACATCCCAGCTTCCCAGTCCCTTGCTGGATAATTCTACACGTTCATTTCCCAGAAGGTCCCCGCAGGACTGAGCCCTCCTTGTTCATAGCTGTAGCCCATTCAGAACTCACTCTCACTGGCTCTTTTCTTTCCTCCATCACACTTTGCCTGTTCCCTCACTTGTGCTCCATGGATCATTTTTCAGATAAGGTACCTGCACCGAAATTCTTGCTTTAAGGCCTTTTGGGGGTGAGGAGAATCTCAGACAAGACCGCTAGATAAGATATTTTACCTTATTAAGACTTGGAACCTGAATTAACATCCTCACATGCGTGTGAGATTTTCTTTCCTTTCTGTGGCAAGAAGCAATTCCGTTAGTGTATAAGCTCTGAAAATGGAGGAAGGTTGTTGGCAGCCAAGGTGGGGATGTACAGGAGAGTGGTTAGTGAGTAAAAACTAGTAACACTGCGACCATTCTGTTATCTAATTTAACTCTAAGTGAAGGTATTTGTCTTCCTTCAGCATCTCCAAAGCCAGGTTCTGGGATTTCTTTGCCAGATGATACACTTCTCACGTCCCTTTTCAACTCTGGGTTGATTCTGCGCCAAAAAGAAATGCATAATTTCCTTAGAAAGTTTTTGCATCTGTACTCTTCCTCCTGTATTGATGAATTTCCAAGAGCACTATTTCAAGGATTGGACACTCCACCTTATTCAGAAAAAGTCTTAAATGACCCATCAGCCAAGGTAATGTTTTAAAACATTATAGATTGTCATGAAACTTCTAAAGTCATCCTTCTGTTTCTGAAGGAAGCACGTTAACCTCAGCGCTGGCAGGAAGATTTCTGGTTTCCCTCAGTTCCTGGAGAGGCTCATTTCTGTCTCACCACATAGGGAAGCCAACCAAACATCCTGATTTGGGGGAAAGTTCACATTTCAAGTGTTTTGTTTTGCTGCTCTCATAAATCTTCAGTATATCTCAGAATTTTCTAGATCCCTGCACATAACATCTCTCAGGCAGTCATTTTGCCAAGAAGTTTACACAGATTTCAATATAACAGCTATATGAAGAAAACTAAACTGAGTTTCTAAATCTATGCCTAATTTCTTTGTTTTAAATATATAATAAAAATAATTCATTGTGTGTTTTTAATAATCATGAATGTGAATAAATAGGGTAAAAATTTTAAATAAAAGTTTGAAGGGTTTTTGTTTTTGAGTGTTAGCAAATTGGATGGACTTTCCCAAAACATGTAACGTGGAAACTTCTTTTAAGTTAGCTATTGAAGAGAAATAAAAAGAGGGGCATAAATGAAGTGGGGTTTTTTTAAGCTACTAGGGTCCTAAATAATAGTAATGGTTCAGTAAACTGCCAAAATGGATGAATTAGAAGATACTGAAAAGTAAAGGGTTTTATTAAAAATAGCAAATTGTATTTGCAGTGTGGTATATTCAACAAACACATGTTGAATGCTGACAATATGCTGGACGCTCTTAGTTGGCAGAGAAAGAGGGGCTTCATAAGGCCTCATCCTGGTACACAGTTTGGAGCGGTAGTAGAGGAAGGTTGATAGAGTTAGAGCAGAAGAAAATTACAGAACTTCAGAGCTGCCTTCTAAGAGCAGATGGGAGGGTTAGTAGCAGGTAGACTGTAACAATTTAAATCTATTAGTTATTCTGTCAATAATGGGTAGGGCTGATTGGCAAAGGATAGATGAAATGGATTATCCAAGAGAAACGGTAAAGTAATGAAGCGTGCGGTCTTAGGAATGGGAAGGAAAGGGTGGATGTAAAAGATGCCGCTTAATTAAAATTGAAAACTATACAACTTAGTGTCCCCCTGGAGACAGAGCGTGAAGGAGAGGAGATGATCGGTCCACCCCGCTTGGAACCTCCGTCGGTGATCTCTAGAGCAGGGCCGCACTGCCGGCAGATGTCGCCGACGGAGGGTGAGAACACTTGTGGAGGGCAACACTCGTGGGTTCTGCTCTGCACATAGAGTGAGGCTTTCGTAGAAAACTCAGGTGGACATAATGTGTGATAAGCTTCCAGTAGGTATTTGTGAAATGAATAAATCAAATTATTTGCATAGAATTCTTTCAGAACTAGGAAAAAAATTACTCATTTATTCTGAATTACCCTGACATTGGACTTCACCATATAGTGCTTTAATTTTTTTCAATTATAGACCTGCCCAGTGCCAGACCTGTCCATGTTTCTGTTGTCAACTGTCTCAGAGAAATGACCTGAAAAAGTGCCTTTTTTCAAAATGGGAACCTTTGCTCATCTTGTTCTACTAGAAAATAGTAACCTATGTCCTACCAGTTACCTTATGTTTGGGGAAGATAATAAAACAATTTTTAATTGCTGTTTTGAACAAGAGAGTGACTATTTGTACATTATAATTTTTAAAATGACTGTTAATAAACTGGTTTTAAAAAAGTAGTGAAAAGACCCACCAAGGAATATTTAAGAATTCAGTTAAAGAAATGATTGTCCATTGCGGTTATGGAGTTGCCCCCAGGACAGTGTATTGGAATCCACATGGGAGGATTTTTCATATTACTTCCCAGATACTGGGGTATTGGCAGCATTGTCATTACCTGCCCAGATTCTAAATCATTTGAGAAATAAAAGAGTAAGACAGATTGGGATTAAAACATGCTTACCTTTATGAATCATAAAGTTGATATTTTAGGATGTGGTTATATCTACTGGAAAATGGTCTTCCTAATAGTGCATAGCAAAGTAGACAATCGTGTTTTTATGTTTTGTCTGTTTTTTTGGTCATTACAGTCCTCCTTAAAATCTGTGGAGACATAGTCTCCTTTAAAATATGTCATATGAAGGAGCGTGGAATATTCACTCCCTACAAATAGTTCACTCCTAAGATGTAAGAGCTGAACTATGAATATCCAAAATTCTTTTCTCCAAATTCACCAATCAAGTAACTCCCAGGTAGAGAAGTGAGGAGGTGGAAGGGACAGGAATGTAATGTTAATATCTGGCCCTCCCCAGGGAAGAAAACAGTAGATAGTGGGAGGAAACCCATTCTATTTAACACCAAATTCTGATTCACCCCTCCTGAAACTGAGACTGCTTGTTAGGATTATTGTATGTCCTTGGTGCTTTAGGAGTTTTGGAGTAGGGGGCAGAGGATGGGAAGGTTCAGAGCTATAGTTTTAACGGGTGTACTCGTGAATATTTTATAAGAGTTTGGAAACTAGAATGTGAGACTTCTTCAATACTGTTCTGAAATGAGCTCTGCTTGAGTATTTTACTAAGGGTAGCCTATCATTACCCAGCTCCTAAGGACAATGCTCCAGATCTACAACCTTGAGTATATTGTGGGTACATGTGACATTTCTAGTTGCAGCAGTGTTATCAAAGGGTTGCTTCACCCTGTTTGCTTTTTTTTTTTTTTTTT